TCGTGATCATTTAATTATTCCTTTGTATGTAGAGTTTGGTTAGATGGAAAACAGTATGTTTCCATCTCTAAGGGCTGTGTTACGACTCAATGAAGTTTGAATGATCGTAATGAAAACAAATTGGTCTGACACCGAAAATGTACTGATATGTCTGTGGCCTCCACCTAGACATAAGTCTCTACATATGTGAAAAAGCTTATTAATTAATTAATAATTCTTTATCAAATGGGGTTTGTGTCGTATTCCCTAATCATTCGTCCATTTTAGAGATTATGAAAACTTTAGTCGCTGCAATTAATTGAAGGTTCAGTCACACCAACTTTCAACTGAATTAAACTTTAGGAAAACTGAAATGAGAACAGCTTTGGCAATTATCCTGTATGCCAGAATTGCATTGTGGTTTATTCTATGGATTAGAAGTGTATAACAATGGAGAAAATGAATGCAATTTGGTTATTATAGACTTCTTTGTTGTGTACAACGTTGTGTTGTCAAGTGATGACAGTAAGCAGGATATTTTTAGGAGGATACTACTGCGTGGCGAATAGAATAGGCTCATTCACTTGAATAAAAAGCGTCTGATGCGAAGCTGCGAAGACCTAACATTTCATCCAAACACGAGAAAATTAAATTTGAGGTTTTTCATTTACATGTGCTGAGCTCACAACTTCCAATAGTTATATTATCAGTTCAGCTAATTTATGTTTAAGTTTCTTAGCTGATTCTGAAGGAACTGCAGGGAAGGAACACAGCGATAACATTGGATAAATAAACAAACGAATCAAAATGAAATCATTTTGAAACCAAAATCTGCCTAAAGTAAATTGATAAATTAAAGTCAGATATAATTTTTGTTTCATTTGTAGGAGCTCAGTTAAATAAAAGTAACTCCTTTTAATCGGAACAAAAAGAAGTGGATGTCATCAATGATAGAGTTATGGTTTATTGATCGTTTATCAACTAATACATAATAAATCAAATATAAATAAATAAATGAACACAACAAATTTAGAAACGTGACTGAAAGCAGAATATTCCTAAAATATCAATTTTCGTTTGGCCTAAAAATTGCTTCTTAGATATCATGTTTACATTTCACCAAAGTGGGAACAAACGTCAAATGTGATTTCAGCTTCAAATCAAAGGCAGCAGTGATAACACTTACAGTCCTTTTGTCCAGAGTGACAAGCCGATATCATTCTACTTGAAATCATACGCTGGTTTTTCTACTTTTGAATGGTTTATTTTAGAAAAATTTCCGCCCAAAATAGCAAATTTGCATTATCCACAGTTCAATATTTTGATTACCAATGCTTTCTCAGCAAAAAGCACAAATTTGTCCATAGTTTTAATTTGTTGCTCAGGAGGTATGTAAAGAAAACATGATGGATTCACTAGGAAGGTTCAAAACTGAAGCTTAATAAAAGAACATTATCATTTATATTGCAGATTTTTAATCCACTTAAGGAAAATCTGATAGGCAAAGATCCGTATGACAGTACATGTTTTCCGATTCAAGTCATCCCATCTCTGTTTTTCTTTTGTGCTCTGCATCAGATTAATACGAACCTTCATTTTTTGTATTGTATTGTATTGAGTATAACTTTTGCAAGCAAAGAAGCCTACATTTCAGTTAAAATATCATACAGGTTAACCGTCAAAAATGTACATAGAAAACTATGAAAACATTTTCACACACATGAGGATATTGCATAACCCAAGGTTAGGACAAAGTTCACTTATTATCCGCTCTTTGTTTATGAGTAGAGGAGCAAGATACGGTATAGCTGCGTTGCGGTAAGCATTAATTCGAGATGAAATTTGACGGAACTGGGAGCATGTTGAATGACGGGAACGACATCGTGTCAGTTCTGCGTGCAACGGGTGGGCAGGATCTGTGAGAATCCTCTCAGCAAATTTCACACAGAAAGTTATATGATACTCTGAAAGCTTTAAACCTCATTCATTCACAGGAATAGAAGAGACACAACTAATAGTGGTTAGACCGCAACTTTAAAATACTGTTTGAGTAAGCCGGGGAAATGACTGGGGAACAGTAGAGTAAGATGGGGAAAACATACTGATAATCAAAGATAGAAATAACTGACTTAGATGTACGAAACTGTCTGAGCTTTCGGAGTTGAAATGATTCTCGCCGCAGTTTACCAATGCAGTTGTGGATGTGGGTTGACCAATGAAGATTGCTCTTTATGGTTACACCAAGTTATTTGACAGAATTCGCCCTGGATAAAGGATTTTATTAATCACTGTGAGGTCTGTCGGATATGGGGAGTAAGCAAAACTATATAAACACTCAACACATTTACTGGGGTTCAGAGTTAGCCCCGATGAGGGGGAGAATGACTGAATTTGATCAAGATTATCGGCAAAAGAGCTTAGATCAGAGTAAGAAGAAATGGGTTGGCACAACACGACGTCATCTGCATATTTCAAATTCCTGCGGGAGAAACACAGGGAAAATCACAAACATAACTGGAAAATAACTATGGGGATAGCACAGCTCCTTGAAGGACCCCGGAGTTGGTGACTAAGGGTTTCGATGTGGCCTTCCCCAATCTAGTGGTTTGTACTCTATCAGTAAAATAGTTGGATATCCAAGCTAACAACTGCTTGGGGCATTCAAGCGATTGCACTTTTTGTAACACCTTAGATCTAGGAATGGAATCAAATGCAGAAGACTTAACAGAGCTGTTCAAAGACTTAGTGATAAAATGAATGAGGGTGGAGACTGCGTCCAAGATAGATTGAATAGGCTTGTAAGCAAACTGTAACGGATCACTGGGAATGTTTATAGACTGCTGAAGGCGTTTGAGGATGGCCTTTTCAGTCAATTTAAGAGTTGAAGATGTTAACCCTATGGGGTGAAAACGTTTGGAGAGGATAGAGGATTTGGATGATTTGGGGATTGGTATGATTGTAACCGGCCTCCAACAGTCGGGGACAGTGGAAGAATTAAGACATTCATTGACAATGGAGGTAATTGCTCCAGTTAGGGAAGCAGCACCAAATTTGCATGTGCGTAGCGTGTCCGGATGAATTTCGCGTTAATGGCACTTCCGGTACTTTATTCTCAAATGGATTTCGTGGTTTGTAAATCACTGTTATGTGCGGGGGCAAACTAGACCCATTAATGAACAAGAACAGCTGGCCACTTATCATGAAAGGCCATCCTGACGTAAGTCAGAGTGTTGGTAGTTATGAATAGTACATTGGACAGAAATTACTCTTACCTGTCTGATGAGTTTACTCAGTATGTGGGCTGAGATGAAATATGATGCATGGTCACAATGGATGGGTCATCTGACCAGATATGCTTACAACTATTCTGAATTGTTGCGTAGCTGATTCATGGATAAATCGCAGAACAAACATATCGAATTTCCTGTTCCTTTTATTTCAGTAGTATTGCTTACGTCTCGGTAAGCAACAATGACTATTATGAAACAGTACAGCTGTAAAATTCTAAAAAGTGAGTAACGCCATCCTTTGTGTCCTTTCATCCTACCAGAACAGTGAAATCAGTCTGTGGATTGTGCATTCCCTCAGTAGGTGATCAGTTGCCTGTGCTTAAATATTCACGAGTTTGAAATTTCTCTCTGAAAAATTTCCTTACAGTGAATTTTATTGTAATTTAACGTGCAAAAACAACTGTTTAAGTGTTCACTTTCCATCGATAATGAAGACATCAGAAACAGAATACAAAGGTGAATCCCAGTTATGCGCTGTTTAACAATACAGGACCCAAATCGCTTGTTTCAAAATTTCTTTGGCTGAATTTTCTTCCATTAGTCTGTATGTTTCCCGAACATAGAGTGAGAATAAATATTTGGTCTTTAATAATAACTTTTTGTAAAACCCTGTGCTCATTTAGGTGTATTAGGTTGTCTGATTTATGCCATTTCAATGTGTTTTGAATGAAACGCTATGGCGAAATATTCCTCGAGGCAATGATGATATCAGTTTTTTATGCTGTTATTGCGCGTAATGGAAAAGGACGTTACTTACTAATGCTTCATTGATTTTCCCCGAAGAGGAAATCCTGAGGAGCCTGAATTCTCCAGACAGTCTGATAGATTGAAATCCATCAGCTTGTAGCCCATGCCTCGTTTAGAGTGAAAAAATGTTTACAGTTCTCATGGCTGCATATTTGGTCCGCTGAACATTTGCGTTCAAGAAACCTGACCCGGTTGATTGTACCAGTGATGAATGAGCGTCACTTTCAGAAATATTTGTTCTTTCCGTAAAATATTCCCATACGCACTATAGAAAACCATGTTCGCGAAAAAAGTTCTTTCCAATACGTCGCATCAGGTGATTACATGTATAAAACAATCATACTACTGATATCTGATTGTCTGATTCCAGACAGCTCAGTTTATAACAATGACAGACGTGCAAACAAAGCAAGCGCATGTGATAATGTAGCGGTAATCAATCCTAGGGTCGTGGATGGGGTGAGAGGACAAGGGTCAAATGAAATAACGGTTGAGAGAAGGACTGATTAGAATTGAAGTTGTGAGCTAGGGTAGGAGAGCGAGATGAAGTTAAGCAAGATACACGAGGAACTATACGTCATGCACAGCTTGTGATGCAATAGAGAAGGGATAGTGAAGAGGATAAATAATAATTGACTATTATTCTTTTGTAGTTCACGAAAAGCAATTCGTATCCATATTTTTTCAAAGCGAGGAACAAAAAATAGAATATTACCGTGGTGTTCTAATGCCAGTATATACTTGACACCGTGGTGTTTTATATTTTTCCACCAATTAAACCACATGTTAAATCCCATCGTTTGATGTTTTCGTCACAGATTTCAGTTCATTCTAACTACTTGCAGAAAATTATATGCCTATACATATAACAGGCAATTGTTTCGATAACTACACTGCCTTATATTTGAGTAAAAGCAACTACAAAGAAGTGGACATAATTGAACGATTTAAAAATAGAACAACTCACTAATTCCTATACATCTGCTACGTAGGATAAGGACGCGCTGTCTTGCCTCCACTGGTCGCCTCATCTCCGGGGTAAGGTGGCGGTGGAGGTTCTTGTTGATAATTGGGCTGCTGCCACGATGAGCCAGGTAGTGGAGCAACCGTGGCCCAAGCCGAACCGGGTTGCGCAGCCACCGGATAGGGTGCGGGAACCCCGTACATTGGAACTGGTCCTATTGTTGGTGGTGAAGGTCCCACGGGATACGGAATAAAACCGATCGGTTGTGGAACATTGGGCTCTGTAGCCTAGTGAGTCGGAAAAATGAAATGAGCTTAGGGTTTTATTGGCGTGTTGGTGATCTCAAGCATCAGAGAGGTAGACGAGTAGAATGTCTTATTTAAAGATTGGGTTAAAACGATTGATCTTGCAATTATCAATGCACCTCACAAGTTTGAAATACACCAATGTCAGAGTCAACTTAAGAGAGGAGAAATTATGGCAATATAAAATATCCTTTAGTATCTGCTCATGACTCATTTGGTATTGTTTTTGAGGATGATATAGAGCGATTTTATTAACGTTCGTCAAAAAGCTGATTAATAGTGAAATAAATCATCCTGCTACATCCAGATACATATTCAGTTCCATTCATTTTGAGAAGCTGGCGTTTATTTTCACCTGTAAATGGAATGACTTTTTCCTTTCCACGATTGCTATGCCCTTGCATTTATTTAACACAGCATAAACCAAATCAGTGGTTCTATTTTCTCAACCACTGCAGTTGCACAAACATGGTTATTGATGTGAACATTCCCAAATACTAAAAAATATCGTGACGTACATAACGGAACATAAGACACGAAAGCTTATAGCTCATTCGTATTTCCAAATGTTAGCCCTTTCTTATCTCACATTGACCACTGTATTGTGCTCTGAATTTACAGTCTATTAAGTTTATTTGTTTTTGAATATTTGTGTGGGATGGGAAGGTGAAAACGGAATTTGATTCATTGGACCTTGCTTAACACTTTCACGATTTCAGCTGCGAAGAGAAATTAAGTCAGTTAAACGCTGCAGATTTCTGCAAGAATCGAGGTTTATCCAAAAAGATGAGAAGTGATTATCCAAACAGCACAAGAGGATCAGAAAAAGAACTTACTTCTCCATCCACCCAATGAAGAAGAATCAATATACGGCTTCTTGATTAAAATGTTAACGCGTCCAGTAAAACAACAATAAAATATTCTGCTTACGATGGATGATTTATTGTGATTTTTCATTCAGGTGCGTTTCTCTATGAGGAAGAAAGAACCCTGAAGGATGAAGTAACGTTGGTCACTCTGGTTGAGACAAGCTGGCACAATGAACTTGGCAGTCGCCACTAACTAGATACAGGTCACCTAATAAGCCCAGAATCGAGTTGAGAGTAGTCCATGATGTGCCCCAAAGGCCTTCAGGCCACAAAACCCGCCACTAAAGCGAAGGGAATTCACTTTCTTGCACCCAACTTGAGTGTTCAAAAGCGACCGTTCAAAGCAACCCAGCTGCTCGATCATATGAACCATCATAACGACTCAAATTACAACCGATTTCATTCACCTACAACAAAAATAGACAATCAGCCATTTATTGCAGGGTTCACAAATCCATCCTCTCTTGTTTTGAACGTCATGTGAACCTTTGTAACCTTCTGTTTGAAGGCCTTTTGGTGTATTACTATGCAATTTTGTGCATCATTTATGTTATTTCGAAGTAAAGGAAAACTGATGAAAGCCTGTGTTAACTTTAAATTGCAAATTGAAACGTAACCTTCTTTTTATAAACCGTTAAGGGATCCGACCACTGTGTTTTACGAGGAGAAGCAAATCACCTCTGAGTTGCACTCGTACGAACATGAATTCAAGTGACCACCAGAAAAGGAATCTTTCTTGAAACTGTTGCATTTTTCATTTGAAGACGATCCCAAGCGGTATTACTTGTAAGGCAAATAGTATTTGTATCACTAACGGTATCAAATGCGAGGTCAATTATTAATAAGATTCAACTAGAGGGGTTTCTTTCATTTTGATCAAAATCAACTCACTGGTTTTACTGGCTTTGNCAGACAACACAACTACCAAAGCCAGTAAAACCAGTGAGTTGATTTTGATCAAAATCAACTCACTGGTTTTACTGGCTTTGGTAGTTGTGTTGTCTGAGATGGCTGGGTGGCGGGCTTTGCACGTTTTTTGGCGAAACAACAACAGTAGACAACCAAGGCGACCATTACTAGAATCCCCACAATAGCAATACATCCTCCCAAAATGGCCCATTTGCTAAAGAAGGAGAAGGGGAACAAAAGGTGAGATGTAACATGAATACAGGAAAATAAACGAAAATGGAACTGATTACACAGCCCTCGGAGAAGCTCCTACTTACAGGGTGACAAAAACTAGCTACCACTTTAGAAGACGAAACAGGTTGGTTCCTTGCCGTTAAAGAACAGCAATTTGTAACTCACAGGTGATTGTCGACTGCTTTGGTTGTGCTTAACTTATCCTCATTTGCTTATCATCCGCCTTTCAGTTTTCTATTGGGTATTTCTGCGCGAGTAGAATTCGGCTACACATTTGCTCATTACGCTGAAAAATGAAGAATCATTGCAAATTAGGTGTCAGTATTTGACTTAAACCCGCTGTGCTTGGAATGGTTGAGTTACTCTCTACTTGGCTTGTTATATGGTGAAAGTGCTCCAATTTCACAGGATTGTAATATTGACAGTCGAAATTTTTTGGGCACTTTTTCTCTTTATAGTTATTTGGAAGTTCGTGGACAATATTTCACTCTTTCAGAATCTTTCTTTCATCTGTCGCTTCGTTTTTCTCGAAGATCAGTCTTATTCCTTTGTTGTGCGCGGCAGCACGTGATCTCCAATTCATGGGCTAGGGTATTTGTATTTAATCATTTTGATGAGTTTTGGTTGTGTTGAATTGGAGAAAAACTGGAAATTTGTACACTGATCATTTACCTCGTGTGATTGTCCTTTGTCCTGCCTGCCCAGTCTTCGTTAATTTTTATCTTTCAATGAGTGATATTTAGTACTACAAAAGTATTAGATGGGAAAACAGTCTTCACTGCCAACATCATGAATATCCGGACTAAAGGAGAGATTTTGCGAAAAACAGTCTGTTTTGCTAACACAGTGGAGCTGCGGTGAACCGAAAAATTGCATTAGTGTCACATAAAATATAGATACAAGAAGTGCCACCGAATACAAATTTGGTAAAACGGTCTCAACATTTGGGCTGTACGATTTCCTCGAACGTCTAACCAATGACTTCCTCCGGTTTATTCTCCTACTTCAACCACATCTCTCAAAGTTTTCACTTCTGTTAAACTTCTTGGTCTGTTCCTATCTAAATATTCATGTACCAATCAAATTGCTTTCGGTTCCGCTTCTCCCAACATTTATTTAGGTTTATTAAGATGGCTGGAATGTAAGGAGAATTTGATAGGAGTGGTTTCTCTGAGTTGTTTGACTGTGCTGCATCCGGAATATTTTATTTATCTCATTTCATTTATCATTCATTTATCTCATCTTCCCACCTCAGTCGTCTCTGAAAAGTGGTTTCAGAAAACCAAGGCATGCGTTAGCGAACCCGCATCGAAAAACCACCCAACAGACGGGGTGAACCGGGTCGAAAATACCTAAGATCGTCAGTGAGACGGCACGCAAATAGAGCCCCTCTTTATTGGGTGAACATAATGTATTGCCTGATCCAACGGTTATGGAGAATATCTGGATGAATCACTGTTTTGCATTCACAAGTACAACATGGTGAATGATGTCCTGCGCAACCACCGGCAAGTAAGAGTTGGCAAATCACACCACACTTGGTTGTGCTAGGGCTCGAGGGAGAAAAGTCGGGAGATATTGGGATATCAGTTGTGAAAGTTTATGGTCTCCTTGCGGCAGTTTTATTCGATCCAAGGTGCCGGTTTGGAGAGTATAAATATTTGGTTCTTAAAGAGTCTAAACACTGCGTTTCTATGTTAATATTATTTAGAGGAATTGATTCTGTATAAGTAACAAACAAATATCCCCATTTTATTAAGAATAATTCAAACTTTTCCCCCATCGTGAATCTGAGGCACACCCTTGACGCAAAAAGCGATAAACTAGTACATAGACTTATGGGAAATTCGGGTTTGGGGGACTTATTCGGCAATCTGAAAGCGATTAAGAATAAGAGGTGAGGTCTTTTTTCATTTTAAATATCTCTAATTAAGAGTGGGAAACGCAACTTGGTATCCGATATTTCAAAGCGCAAATGTGATTGGTTTTATTAAACAGTACTGTTGTTCGATCAAGGTCTAATCACGTCTAAATGCGCTCTTCAGTTGCGCCACAATTTATCAGTCCTTTTCACACGAGCAGTCGATACCAAACGGCTTTGAACCAGGAATGGAGGGAGTATATGCCGAATGAAACCATGGGTACGAAGTGACTATCAGTGATGATCTCAATTCGTTTCTCGTATGGAAGAGCTATCGTCAGTCCGTTTCGCAGCGAGCCTTTTATGATCGACTATTATTTATGTCTGTTACATGGGTCCACATGTTTTGTTTTTACACAAAATGTCCTTCGTGAATCTGCACATGTCCGTCAATTGGGATTGTTTTGTGTGAATTCGCTCACGCATTCATCCGGCTGTTCACGTGATGCATTCATACTTCTGAAAAGTTATTTCAAGCAGAAACAGGAATGAATTATCTTGCATACTCGACCAAATACCCGCTCAAAAAGAAGTGATACACCTAGCAAAGTTTGTCCAAATCTGATTTATTTGTAGTTATGGTTCCCAGACTAAGTAAAACAGCTTCGTACGACAAGCTAAATAGATTTATTAAATGGCTCCCAAGTGAAATGTCCCACAATCACTGAAGCACACTTCACGTTGCTGATCGGAATACAAAGAATACCATAGTACTAAAACGTTATCTTTGGGCCGAGAAAATATGATAAGAAAAGACTGACAAAACCTAATGAATCAGATTATGGCAAATGCCGGAATACATTTTTACTTCCTGTTAAATATTGCGCATGGATTATGACTGACAGTCGTTCAAACTTCATCTTAATAGATAATCCTCGGTTATTTCAGCTAATCTTCTCTCAGGAAGCACTGTAGACTCAAGCATCGTTTTCTTTGGAGCACATCAATAATGCACAGTCCCGGCTTATTCAGTATTCAGTATTTTAAACACTGGACACTTCGCACGATTGCATGTGTGCTACTTTTTTGCCAAGCATCTCACAATGAGGCTCGCTGAAATAACCGATTCAAATTTGCTTGGACTTCTTCAGAGATTATCAGGACCAATAACGAATTCTGTTGTTTCCCGGGCTGTTGGGTGCAATTCTGATCCTTGAACACCCAATTGCTGGTTGCAGTTCAATAGGGTGATAGTTCTCGATCTGCTTCGGAAAGTGGTATGACATTCACGATTTTTATTAGACAGTTTCAGAATTTTTAGGCCCCAGCTGGACGCTGATCAACTCCAAGGAGGGCCAAAGTCGATTTGAGTATTTCCAGAGGGTAAGATTGAATGAACGAACTGAGAATTGTGTTTGAAAACAATCTAAGAAGAATAGTTAGTCAAAATCAATAACACTTATCTCACAATACTACTAACAGAGCATAAATCTCAATGAACCAATACTATGTGGTTGCTAATTGCCAGCAGGTTAAGCATGTGCTCTGAAATTGAAAACCTTAGACGATCTTATCAGCTTATGATGTTTCATTTCATAATTATTGGTTCCAATCTTGCTGGTGGAAGATATTTAGGACAGGTATCCTTAGACTTGGCTTACAGAACATGTTCAGGTCATCGAACAGCTAACATGTGTCAGACTGATACGTGCAAGTAAATACCATTTCATCACAGTCAACGAGATGGGGACAACCATTCAGGATGTGCAATAATAGCATGTAGATTAGTTCAGTCAATCAAATCGTGGGTACAGTATGAAAGAGGCAAGCAAAAAACCCTGGCAAATACAAAATGAATATTTGTATCTGCGTGATGCAGTATCATCAGATTACTGATTTAAATCATTTGGATTAAGTCAATCAATTGTCGTGCTTCCTTTTATAAACTCGATATCATTGTTAGACAAAATAAATGGATAAACCTTACCGTGATTTTAGTGCATGTTTACTTGCTGTAGTGTTTCCCATGAGATTCAGAGAGAAACACCCAATGCGATTGGAGATTTTCACAGATTATCAAGAAGTATACGCCAAAGATTTTAATAGATACTTCGCCGAATTGAAGATGCATTTTTTACGTTAGTTCCAGGGCACAACAAGAAGAATAATTATCTGGTCATTTCATCATAAGCAGGATTCATTCACTGAATCTCAATGAGCTTCGAATCACAGCACAAATGTTATCAATTCAATCGTTGCTGGTTGTTGGTGATTTGGTTCATCAATCATTCCATTCTTTCTTGACTCTGGTTTGATAGACTGATCCTCCGGAAGGGTTTATCTGTCAAACAAAGTTATTACAAGCCACCTCAGTGTTTTCTTCTTGCAACTAAAAGGACAATTTCTCACCTTCATCCTAGTCCTAGTACCGAAAGCTGAGCATTGTTTAGTGGACGCAGTTTACATCCAGCCCCAGGTAATGAAAATTGCAAATCTTTTAACCGACAGACTCATTCTTCTAAATAAATCTCTCATCGGTGTCTCGCCATGGTTTTCATTTCAATCATCCGTCTCTTCCTTTGGTTGGATGCAAGTTTCAATTTGTGCTTTCCTATGGAAACGCTTTCATTTACAGTGGGAGAATATGTTCGCGGTTGCTATGCTGACAAAAGAAACATACGTGCATACTGTTTCACAGCGTTGCTGACAGTCTGGGTTCATAATGAACAGGAAATCAATCGACTGAATGCAGACGGACGAATAGGCATGAACATTCTCAGTAATGCTATATATTTTGAGTGATCGTTAAAATTGTATCCCTTTTACTGCCTCAGTTCCGCAAACTGTATCCCGTGTTCTTCGGTCAAATTAGGTACTCGATAATTCAAAAGTTGTTTTTGCTTTTGATGGGCCTGGAATGTCTTTCATAGCTTTTCTCAAAGCTGCTACTGCTTGATATAATTGCCGATTATGACTGTCTTATTTGTTACTTTCCTAGGTTATTCCCTATATAGTGGAACTGGCTGACGACAGCATGAAACAGTTTCCCATGCAGACGGTTATCGAGTATTTGAAGAAACGTTTGATAGCGCCGGCAATACCGTCATCTTGTATCGTATTTTATGGTTATATCCTTTTTCATCAACATCAACGCGCCGGTGTGTAGCAATATATCCTTACTTCATCTTTTGACGGCTGATGCACCTATGAAGTCAAGTGGCTTCCGTCGTCTCTTACCATAGTTGCATGTAATTTGAGATCCAGTGAGAACGGGGTCCCAACGGAAGCAGTCCGATGGAAATCGATTTCCACTGCCAATCTATGGTCGACCCAAATCAAGTGGTGCCCTATTTGATTGCCGTCAAATGATTGATGATGAAAGTGCTACTCTTTGGACTAAATTTCTATTTTTAGAGGGGCATGAATTACGGTTACCAACTTGACTCTGAGTTCAACAGACTGCATAAGTTCTTATCCTTACCGGATTCGAAAGGATATGCGCTAAAAAGTTTATAATTTTGGAACGAAATATGGGTTTCCGTGACCAATATTCTCCACAATTTATTCGTAGTGTTTTCACTTAACACTGCGGTACGTTATCCTCTTTCCTTGCATCATATGCTTTCTGAGTGAACCGCATACGCAATGAACTATCGAGTACCAAATATAAAAACCCAAGAATCAACTAACGAGAGCAAATTAAGTCTAAGATAAACGCTATTATGATATACTTCTGTAAATTCATTATTTTATATATTTTATACAATTTTGGCCGAGTTAAGTATCTTCCAAAACTATCTCGAAATGCTTACCTGATTCCCTGATGTAGTCCACTGCAAAAGAAATAGAAAAAATCAGGGTTATAGAATCCGTGGCTGCAATGAAAGTTTAAAATAAAGTGAAAAAAGTGAATTAAATAAATACTACTTTGTGACACATTCTGGCAACTTACCTTGTTAAAGACAGTATAGTTACGAGATGCCAGTGAGTTTGAATAAGAGCAAAATAAAATGACTTTATTCCAGCGCTTTTTTGCCGAAATGCTCCCTCGATAATAATAGTCATATGTGTATGGTTTTCCTGCATACGTTTTAATGATTGGCACTAACCAGAAAAATAGTGTGCGTGAAAGCCCTTTTGTGATGTAAAACACGTTTTTTAGTTTTATGTACAGTACTTTTCCATGTGGTCACAGGTTAATGCTCAGTACTCAGATGCAATCACTTCTTTTCTTTTATTCTTTTTTCATTTTTTCATGTTGACTTCTTTTTATTGAATATGCAGTGATACAATTCTCAGGTGGGGGGAAGCGACCAATCAAAGGGCTGACATACAACATATATTTCGTATCCCCTTTATATATATGTATATATATATATATACATATACATACAATACTAATCTTTACACATACGGCGCCCTCCTGGGTCACTCATGTAAACACTTCAGGATATCAGTCGTAGAGAAACGGAAGGATAAACAATATAACAGAGTGTACTGTTAAAATGTGAGCATGAGATTATACGCAGGATGAGGTTAGATGGTCAACGCGAAACAAGGCACTTAATAAGTTTTTATAAGTTTTTTTTGTAATATTTTTCGAATTGTTTTCTCAAAGCTCATCCTACCTTTCCGTCTGATGAATTGACTATATTTTATGGCATTGAAGACAGAGAAATGCTTTAAACTTGTCGGGGCTTTGTATTTGGCTAGTTGACAGTTTATTGATGTAAATCGCAAAATTTTGATACATGCGCTCAGTGGGTACACATCAAAACCCATTCAAGATGTTCGTGCAGACTTTTTCAAATTCCAATTACCATAATGAACTATTGTATGAATTATAGATCTGGGAAGTATCATGGGCGATTCTGCGTCTATTATTTAAAAGGTGATTACTATGGTTGTAGCAGTAATTATGAGTGCGTTGTGTTATAAAAAGTGAATGTAGTTTATGAGATCGCTTTGTATGCAAGAAGATACAGCAACAATGAATGAATTTTCCGGTTGAACTGATGAATGATACTCAATTCAGAATGATAAACATCCAAACTAACACCCGAAAAGTGTGAATTGAAAACAATTTATATTAATCATTTTTCCTAAGCGAGGAGCGGGGAGTAAGCTCTAAATGTCAGTCTCTAATGAAAAGTGAATTGCTTCAATTAGAGAACAGAGTATAAACCTATACACACGCTCAAATCGTGAAATTTGTAATTATATGTAACTTTAAAATATTGCAATCAAGTAAATAAGCAAACGATGTGCTAAAATTGGTCTCTGGTTACTTCGGTTGATGAAGTAGTACTGTACGCGGACTTTGTTAGTCAGGATAACCCGTTTATTGCTCTTCCAACACTATACACGCGTGTGCGTTCAATGATTTGAATAGATCGAAAATGCATTACATTCTGTTGGTGGTTTTATAGGTTATTCAGCAAATCTTAAAAGGTGTAATTTATGTGTACTTTAACCTTGTGTATGTGTTCGTAATTGCGTATAAAATTTCGGAGTGATGAACGTTCAGGTATTTTAAGCCCATGTTTCATTGTTTTTATTGTACAAGAAGAGCAATATTTTCATCCATTTAGAGATAACAACCAAATTCCCACCAACTGAATTCTGATACCTGTGAATTTTACCTTTCAAATACAAACGAAAGCGACATTTTTGATTCAGTTTGGGTAGTGAACAGTCCAAATGATGAATGACCATTAGGACTTTCAGGTCTATATTTGCATGTATTTAAATAATGTTTCTCCAAAGCGTGTGGTCAGCTTCGCAGTCCCTACCGCTCGTCAGGCGTGCGTAGACGGAAGTCCGTACCCTGTTCATTCATATACTTGAACTCCCAATGTGAATTAGGGAACGTAAACCTCATTTGCAGCTCGGGGAGTGGATTCGAGACGAACAAGCCTCGAAGAATTATTGCGACGATTCTATATCAGATGTTGTGGGTTAGGTGCGTCTAATCTCAGTCAACTCGACGCCAGTACCAACTTTCAGTCTTTTCATAATCAATACTATATGAATGACTGGACAAAATTTTCCTTAAGCACATGACCGGTTTTGCGTTCCTTGCCGCTCATCAAGTATGCGTATCGGTTAAGTTACTGTCTGGTCATTCTTATACTGGAACACCAGATGTGAATTAACCAACGCAAATCCCATTGAAAACTCGTGCTGAAATAAATAAATACGATTGTACAGAAGTTATGGGTTTAAGCCTTTCCTTCCTTCTGTCTGTCATAAATATGAATATATAAAAGATTATCATCATCCTGTATAATAGCAGTGACTATGAGTGTGTTAGGCTATCTGTGGTCTATGATCCAGCTCGTCCTTGGCAATGAATGCTAATAAATCCAATATGACCTACTCTTTTAGTTGGAGAAACATTTCGCACAAGTTTCTTTGCTAACCGAAGTGAAATATTCTGTCTACAGTCTTTTGCTCTCCACCTGAACCAAAATTAGGTTTCTGCGATCGGACTCTGCAACTTACATCACACTATCCCTGCCTTTCAGTTCACTATCATTTAACAACTGATGCCTTATTTCATTGGTCGACCAAAACATGAAACTGTGCACACTAAACAGTTTAAACGTTCGACCATATCTTGGTGACCAAAGGATGGTGTTGACAAAATATTGAAAATCGGTCCTCGCAGCTCGGGTAAACTGAATTCCATTTCGCCTGTTCGCCAAGCTTGGCAATTTGTTTGCAAACTTTTCATCACCAGCCGAGGTGAAATCATCTGTGCTTGTGAAGTGGCCAAGCACTGATGATGTCACCTCGGCTGGTGATGAAACGTTTGAAAACAAATGGCCAAGCTCGGCGAACAGGCGAAATGGAACAAAGGATGGTGTACCAAGATGGCTGTTATTTGATTCATGGATGTCAGACCTTGAAATAACTGGAATTACAAATCCTTTGTTCCATATGATTTCAGGATTTTTGTTGATGTGTTGTACGAGGTCTCACTTTAATTCCAGACATGGGTTAACCCAGTATTTCGCGTTTATTCTTTGAGACAGATAGCGTTGGTGAAAGATACTTCAGTCCTGATTTGGAAATTGCTTGAAGAAACGTTGTGACTATCAATAAATTTGATTTGCTGTGAAACGTGATGATTTTATCCCTGTTTTAAACAACGTATTACCAAATCAATAAAACGTGATAGTTAATGTGTCGATCGAAATAGAACTTACCGTAATTCATCATAGGAACAGCATACACCCTCTCCGGTGATGGTACGACAGCAATACCGTTCGAACATTTGATTAGGGTCATCCGGACAGAGAAAATACGGGTAGGTTTGATATTCTCCCAATGTGTCTACATATTCCCGTTTTGGTCCTTCACATACAGTATAGTCATCTGGAAGGGGTGGTGGAGCGTTGTCATAATTGATAAAAAATTAATCGGATGTGAACATCATGAATCTATATGCTCATGTGCATTGAATCAAGTAAACAGAAAGCTAAATGCCCAAATAAACCGTATTAAATTAAACCCTTTTCATTTAGTTTCCTTAAATACGAGGTATAGGTACCAAACCAATGTGGGCAAACATTTTTCGTAATTGGTTACAAATAAATTTATTCGATATAAACAAAACGTCGGCATTATTAGTTGACACATAGAAGTCCTAAAACGGACCGTATCTCAAAGGTGCGATCTCTGACCAGTGGAACTCAACAAGCTTTGTAATCAGCCCCTCAACGTCAAACACTCAGTTGTTCGAATAACTTCAGTTTGTACAACAATTAGCCATGAACTTTTAGGCGTTAGTTTGAAATGCTTTTCAGCTCACTTATGTAAAAGGATTAAACGGAAAAAGTTGAGAGATGAGAACAGTAGTTGTCTAAGTATAAATCAAGGAAACTGGATCTGCTTAAAATGTGAGAAGACGCATGAGCGCCATTATTCACTGCACTTGAACATAACACTCAGCCTCACTAGCCATTAATTAGGTTGTATTCGTGGTCCGTAATCGGAAATCTTAAAATGACCTATATGACTGGGACCCCTGGTTAGGGTATTTATAATCGCTTAGAATGTCATGATATGACCGTCCCCATCTTCTTGCAACTACTGACTGTTTTGGCAAACATCCTACACTTTTTATCAGATGGTATGCTTGAGACATGCTTCAGGCAATGCAACGTATGAAAATCAAGCAGTTGCGTTAGTTGATGATCGGGACTCCACAATACTTTTCGACGGTCCTCAAAATGAATGCTAGGTAGGCAAACAGATATCCGTTGACGACATTGGCATGTTTAGGCCACACCGAACAAAAACAAAAACAAAAGATGTGCGGGACATGTATCACAGTTCAAAAACCCCTATTTATGACTCGAGGTATAAAACTTGTTGGTGGCCTGTTTTCTCAATTAATTATCAAGATATAACGAGAAGACAACGTCAGCGGACCATTAGAAGTTATAATAACTCAAACTGCTGAGGCTAGAGCAGTAGATCCAAAGCCAGTGCACATCCTTACATCCTTCTAATCAGGAGTCGAGACAGCCTACTTAGAGATGCCAGTTTCCTGTTTCAGATAATTATGCGGTTTTTTGGTATACCTTTCAGTACCATTGCATTGCATTGCATGAGAGGCGGACTGAAAGCAAGCAACGCGCACCGCTCTAGGTGTGGCACACGTGACTCGTCCAGTATCGCGAGTTCAGTTTACCCAGCACATCGATCAAGCAAGCGCCCTCCGGGCCTAAGTGGTAAAATAAGCTAAGTAAAATCAAGGGGGGGAACAGCACCTTGATTTTAGTTCCTTCGTGAATGTACGGCTGGATAACACTGAGTACGGGATAACTTTTCACGCATTTATTTACTTCGTTTGCTTCGCTTTGATCCAGATAAATCAACTTCCTTAATGCAAAAAAATGAACGGTGCTAACTGCTGGTTTGAACAGTGTTTATTTTATCTGCTTCTTTTGAGGGCAACTCTTTTGATACAAAGGACAGTTTATTAATTGCACATCGTATTTATAAATAGATTTCTTTTCAAAATGTTTGGACAAACTTTGAAATGAGCCCGTCTCATAAATCACCTCATGTTTCAACATTATGTTCATTGAACTCCCAATGGACTGGATACATGCTTCTTACATACGATCTTGAAGCATTTTTTACATTTATCTCGTTCTGTGACTTCAAACGGTGGGTCAAGAAACAAAGTGTGTATATGTGCCAGCAGCCTAAAACACTTTGACAACATTGAAAAAAATAGAGCTTTTGACCACGATTAAAACAACCAGAACCAGTTCATTCACAGGAAAGGTTAAAACTGTGATCGTCATTTATTTTCTTGGGACATTGTGATCGGAGGTGAAGCATACAGAAGGAAGCAGTAAATCGGAAGGCGAAAGGAATCCTTGGGAAGAGCCACGTTTATGTTGCGTACAAATAGCTCGTTCAGTAGAACTCTGAAATCAATTTGTAACAAGCAAACTGACAGCTTCAGCTCGGCGCACGATCTGCAATTGACCATAAGGACACCCATGATAATGCAGTCACAGAGCTATCAGTTGATGTGTGGTTCTCAACGATTAAGGCTACCCAGTGAGTATGGAACAAGAGAGAATGGGCAAGCTACGAACGAAGTCCGGTCGTATGAAGATAAACTCATAAAATGAGTCACGCAATGTTCTGTAGTGTGTTCGGGAATGAACTGTATATGACCAAAGATTTGTGCAACTTACTTTTTACCAAAACATCCTTGTCCATCGAATCATTTTTTGTGTTACACAATCATGCAGTCGAATGAATTATTCTTCACAAGTGCATGTCACTGCTTCAACCAATACTCGATTGGTATTTACATTCTTGTGTAATCAATTTAATTAATTAAAAATTTGCAGGGCATTGGTCCATCGCACGTCAATCTCCGTATATTCATTCTTATCCATGCTTTTGGTCTTGATGTAGATTGACAAACAGTAAACTACGCTGATGTTTCACAATTATATATGCTATGTGCATTTAACGTGAGTGAGGTCCAGCAAAGGTTATCCACATTTTATGATATCTCACATCCTTTGTTATTGAGTATGCGAAGGTGCATACAATTTTACTCAGCAAACGGTCAGAACTGGTTACCCAAGTCGATGTTTAATACATGAAAATACAGAAGAGGTGATCAGGATAGCACAAAACAGATAATTGGACATGGGGCACTTTTGCAGTATAGACAACTTGAATCACGGTAATTGCGCACGATATAGAACAAACAAAGTTATTTTGCAAGCGGAACAACTAACTTTTTATGTTTGCACACCTGAGTGAATAAAATATCATGTTTATTGCCTAGTCATTCATACTATGCAGCGGATTACGATTTGCATTTAGATACACTATCACGCTCTTGCAGGGTTAGACCGCATCACATTCTCTTAACTTACATTCATATACAAAATCTAATAACCTGTGCACTGACCCCATACCACAAGTTGAATTAACTTTGCATGCAGCAATGATACAGAAAACTCCAGGTAGCTATTTAGCCATAGCCCGTGATTCGTGTCTGCATTCAGATACATGTATGGGATAACAATATCAAATTGGCTATAAACATGAGCAGCACTCTTCAAAAGTTCCCCTGGTAACTTGGCCAAGATCAAGGAGTTAGGTTTTACTGTTAACTTTTCTGTGGTTTGCAACAGTCACATCTTTTCTTGCGAAAAGCTTACTGATTAATATAATTTATACTATGACCCGGTTGAAATTAGTTATATCTCACCTGATAGCTTTCCTCCTTTTCTTAACTTACTTTGACGTACCAAAAACGTGGCATCTATGTCCGGTGGACACAAGAATAAAACACAGCCATCTGCTCTGATCAGAGCTGGAGTAAAGAACCTGAACGGAATGTATATTGCAAATATTTCGGTTAATAAAATGCTGTCGGTTCACCTTGTGGTAACTCTGCGGATCACGCGTGAACTCTTGTTCCAAAGCAGAACTAAACCGTCAGTTTGCTGCTGTAGCTGCATCAAGCTCCATCTCGCCACCATTTAGACCCATGATGTAACTAAAACTATTTTATGAATCATGATTTATGTTGTTAACCTGTGATCTTATGAGAATGAATAAATGAAAAGAATTCCTCGATTCAATGGTCTTTTTATACGACTAACTCGGTTTCTTTCGACGACGTTCTTCGAGTCTTCAGTGAATTCAATTCCAACAAAGTTCCGGATCCCGAACTATTAGTACCTACTTTTTAAAGGTATGAACTGAACAGCTTGCAATACCTATTTCTGAGTTGTTCAGAACCTATTTCTCGTCAGGATTAATCTTCGATTGGTGTAGGTGAGTCTGGATCAAACTAATCCCTAAGAAAGAATCGTCAAAGTGCCATCCTATTGTCTGATTACCTGCATCGCTGACAGTTTTTGAAAATGCTTTGCTTTACTGTATTGTACCCCTGTATAACTCTCACGAACCACTCCAGCTTGCTTAAAACTCCAGTCTGTCCAAACGTGACGTTGTTGCTTATACTGCGCATTCTGTTGCATTCGTCATTTGACTATTCTTGATTACACAAACACCTTGGATTTTCTCGACCGGAGAGTGATTACTGAACTTCTTTCTGATTGTGATCAGGCACTCGAAATTTTTAATATTTCAATCGACTATTTCTCCCGTAGGACGCAGTTTACTTCATTTAATGGCACAGAATCTTCTTCCGTAAATTGAAATTCTGGTGTTTCTCTGGGTACTGTCTTGTTCCTTTCTTGATATACATACAGAATCTCTTCGTTTCCGTAATATCATTAGCTGCAAGTATATCGACTGGTTGCCAAGCCCCCGATCCAAACAATTTTCACCCCCTACACGACAGCCTTAGGTAACACGATTCGTTTGTGCCCCGATTCCCAGTGTTTAACATCAGTAAATGTATTGATGTTCCATTTAGTCGCAAAATAGGATCCCGTAAGCTTATATTAGGTAAGAAAGCCAACGGTTAAATCATCACAAAATTTGATGCAGTTAAATACCTCGGTGTCACTCGCGCCCATGATTTGTCTTGATCTGCTCATCTTAATAGCATGTTTACAGCAGTATGAGGACTTTCCATTTATCCATACAGGATAAAGGCATTAGCTATTTCCCTTAGTCATATTCTTAAACTTGTGACCACCTGCAGCCTTTAACTTCTCTCCTGCCTTTATGCTTAGTTTAAGTGCAAAACATTTCACCTTGCATTCCAGTAAAGTTCATAAAACTATTATGTTGTGGGGTTATTCGTTTACAGAGCAAATGAAGCGTTAACTTAAAAGCTAGGTAGTACTGTACATCTGATTTGATGTTTTTGGTTCTCAGCAGCTGTGTGAATCCATCTACCCAACTGGAAATCAAGCCTCACAGACTTCACAGATAAAACGAAGGACACTGCTCACTTGGCCACCGAGCAGCTGATCAGATCTTCAGTGCTCCTTTACACTCTACTTTACACGATATAGCACAACCCATCTTTGCCAGCTTGTTGTGGGCATCGCATTGCGCTCATCTCAACACTAGCCCTCGGGTTTGACTCGGTTGGAAACACTCCAAACCAACCACGTTTCACAGGGGAGTAGGCGAGGATTTGATTCGACTAATTAACAGATTTTGTCGTGTGCAGACCAAATGGAGCGTCAAATTAAAAGCTAGAAAGCAGGGTACAGTTGCTTCGACTTGGTTGAATCTCATCAGCACCCATTCAGAAGACTTATGATAGTTAGCATTAAAAATAACAGTAACCGTTGAAGGTATCATTTCCCTGGAATAAGTTTGACTGGTTGGATTCAGTAAGGATGTTGAAACATAAATTACGGTTAAAATAGAACTTGAGAATTTTGATTGAATATCTATTTTCTTTTCCTCTCCAGACATTTTATGGTGCCCGATGCACGTAATCCGGCAATAAGGTAACGCAAAGTTTTTTTATTTGCATCAAAAGTATGATTAGACGAAAGTAAACCCAAGTGGTGAGTCCCACATAAGTGAAGTATTACGCCGATCCTAGTGTATTGGAATTCACGAGGAGTAAACAAGAAAATAGCCAATGTAATGGTCTCCTCAACAATGAAAACTCTATCAGAGCGTCAATCTACGTGCTTTGAATCTAGTCAAAGCCAACTGAATTACGAACTAACTTACGCGTGGAAATTTCGCGAGGCATCTTAAATACCCATTGAACGATTTTTGTTGCACGAATTTTATTATATTTCCACGGTTGCGAAAATATCAATTGTTAGTAGATTTTGCTTGTGATGATCGACAAAGTGCAGTAAATAGTGTTGACATCCCTAATAAGATCAGTCAACGGCGCATACTGTTGTTTCCATACCGCAAATCGAACCATTAAAATTCCGGTTAAGCACTGAAACCCCAACAGATAAATCATGATTTGTTTGATGCAAGTTTGAGGAAAAATACCTAGAAGGGTGGTATGGGTGGATTTGGGTCATAGTTCTGGCATTTATTGGGTTACGCGCCTGGTAATTAATGGGTATCATCAGCGTTCTTGACCAAGGGAGAAATCAACTCCACTGCCAAAACCACGGTGACTGGGTTCTTCGATGACTTCTTCGTCGTTCGATCCATGCAAGTGACAGGTGCAGTAATATCATCAAATTATTGCATAAGAAATTGACAATGAGCTCTTATCTCCATCTCTCCCAGCTCACGATTTACGAAGTCGAGAATAGATGGTGCATCTTGACTGGGTGTAATTGTGAGTTCACTGCTATAGAAAGCACCGTGACAGATCTCTCGTTTGTTCCATCCTCTCTCAATCAAAGGAGAAAAAACAAACAAAATTGGTTTACAGTGTTCCTGTTTTGTCATGTCCTATGATATGTTGTTTAAGCACGTACTGGATTAATAATATCCAAAATAATTTTATCACTCTTATTCTGATGAAGTAAGGCTTATCCTTACTGTATAAAAGCCTGACGGGGAATCAACCGAACAACTTTTTGCTCCATATGGTTTTCTGACCAAACTTTTCTATTTTTTAAATTGACTGAACTGCACGCTTAAATTGAAGCAGTTTATTTTTGGATTTAAGCAGTTCTAACCGGGATTCGATTGCCTTCACCCCCTGAATTCGGGTAATATCAGATTACTACTACCAGAAGTGAATAGACGTGGACACTTCGTTTGCCCAATAAACAGCGCATATGCCACAAACAACCATGTGATTCTGGCCGCATAGTCGCGTGCTGTTTTCGCGATTCACCGATTGACAGGCACATAGACTGCATACATAGACTGCAAACCAACACCCACACACAGATGTATTGATCGATTATTTTTTCGCCAGTGAAATGCGTTTGTGGGGCACAAAACTTCATCATTCCTTGAACTGTTCCAATCCTAACGAGGAGAAATGTTGTGTCAATGTGGCTTCCCGAAATAGCATGTTGTCCAATTATTTGCACAACTTTGTTATGGATTCGAGGTTTCATTTGAGTACAGAACAAAGAGAAACGGCTTATCATTTTCATGTACTGACACAAGGAATAGAATCTTTGCTGACCAGTCGTTAAGTGAATGAAATTCCTTTGTTATAAACCCTCACTAAGAGTATGCAAATTCATTGTTATTATAAAATCAATTGGTTCTGCCTTATGAAACAAACAGGATTATTGGTTTGTGTAAGGCTTCGCTTATAATAATCCAGATTTCGATCACTTGAATTTTCCATTATTTTGAGACGAATATCATACAGCTCCTAGGAGGAGTGAAAAAAGAAATGGGACTATTCAAATATCTCATGCTAAATTGATACTTGTTCTTTCATCTCCCAATTTTTACTTTTTGTGGAACCCAGACTGATTATGCCATGCGAGCTGTAATTTATGCGTCACCCCTCTACATCCCCCGCAAAACGCAGGTCCACTTTTATTACTATTACTGCCACTACTGCTACCACTACACAGGAATGGTCGTACTCGGACGTGGAATTCATTCAAAATTTGACAATCATAAATACTGTGTTGCCCTGCACCAATCACCTCACCATTTCACTGTCAAGCCACTTTCATGAAGCACAGACCATTTTTCTCTTGAATTCCACAGTATGAATAAGGTCTACTCTGATTTGAAGTAGCTTTCGTATTTCTCATCGATATATGGTGACGTAAATTATTGTGCAATTGATGAGAATGGCTGTTAGACTTACCCATGTATTGGTCCATAAGCTCACACTTCAAACCCGTCAGTAATCTAATTATTCCTCGTTTTTTATTCACATGAAAGTGATTAATTTACTTCAAACACTCAACTGAAGAAAAAACTGAAACACATGAATTTTAACATAATAAACTTTTGCAATTATTGCTGATATACTTTCTGTGGGTCCTCGAAGAACTCAAATTCGTAGGCTTCAATGTCGAGTTTTTGTAAGATTTGCGTCTCAATTTGCTGTGTTCATTTGGAAAGTATTTAAATTCTACTGAACTTACATTCAGAAGAAATCTGTGTAGGATGCAATCATGGGGCACACCGGATGTCAGTGGCGATAAATTCATGCTATCGTTCACAACAAAAGCGGACATAGAAAAACAGTGACTGATTTTAACCACTTCATTGTTTCTGGCGGATAAAGAAACAGCTGCTTTTTGTTTGTTTAGACATGATGATTCCAATATCCTATGTGCGTATGTCCAATTTCGGCGCATGATTTCAGAATACGTTTNTTGCACCGTGCATGCGACTGGCCACATGAAATGATCGATTCAACTGTAATCAATTAAGAAATCTTTTATAGATTAAGTTACCTCAACCACAGAAAATCGAAAGGATTTGATGGTTACAAACAGGTAGTCCACAGCTTGCGGAAAAAAGGGCTAAAACCAGCAATAAATTAGTGTGGAAAAGATACGAAGAGTGAATACATTTTTAATTCAGAGAGGCTAGTAAAAAATTGATGCATAATTTTAAATGCCCAGCTAATTACTTTAGCAATCTAGAAGTAGAAAATAGCGCTACATAACTGAAAATATTAATTTTTTGAAAATTCTACTAATAGGTATGAAGAATATACATGGGGATTATAATGAGCTTGCCCCGAGTAATGAGTTTCAAAGTTATTGTTCGTTGATAGAAACACGGTAAACTGACTGGGTGACCAGAGAATTTAGTTTGTTATGTTTAAGTGACCAAAGTGTACAACATCCAGTCCCGAGTGGTATGTGATTTATACTCATCGCCCTGCTTCCATGAGGGTCAGGTACGGCAAGCCGAAGGCTCCGGTTGTTGATCCCTGAAGAAATTTCACCTGCGTTGCTCTGAGCAACCTGGCAGTATTCCACTCGTAAATAAATCATGAACTGATTTCTTTTCATAAAGATTATTGTGCTGTAATCTACTTGGCACGGTTCGAATTCATACGCATGTTGAACATAATAATAATAATAATAGTAATAATAATAATAATACATAAGCCAACAACTTTGGAAAATCCTGAGCCGTGTACGATCAGTAACAGACAGAAAGTTTGAATTTATTAAACTGCCGACTGAGGAGGATAGAACATGTTGGAGACGTAATCCCTGAAAACATTTAGGAGCTTTCCAGATCAAGAGAAGAACTTGCTTAAATTGTGAAAAGTGGAGTGGCCTTGTTGGGACCCCAACTCACGCATGGATACCATTCACGCTCAACCAGCTACGAGGCCTCCTACCTCAGGTGGTAGAGCGTGCGCTGTACAAAGTTGTGTGTGTGTGGGGGGGGGAAAGAGTGGTTCCAAATCCCACGGAGGCTGTGGAGTGTTCCATAATTCAAACATATGACTTCAATCTACCGAACACAACTTCAATGGGAGGAGATCGACTGACACCTTCTCTATCAGCCAGCCACATCTAGCTCGACGAAACTATGCCACTTGGCATTCCAATTCCAGGAACCCAGGTTACTGGTTCACATGACCAAATAACAGGTGCTTATTGATACGATGTTATAACCCATTCTGCTATTTACTAAACGGAGATGTGCGGTGCAAACCAAACTTCAGACATATTTGAACAAAACGCCGGTTACTCTCACACCAATTGCGCAGTCGGAACTACATCAACGTAGGTGGTATCCGTGCTGTTTCGATTCGGTTAGCAGTTTTTTACAAGCAGTCAGTTTTCAGAAGAGGAAACACTGAAATCTTACACTGTATTGTGATCTAATAGTATTGCAGGAGTGAAGCTTGCAAGTGTATAATTCGTATCGAGGACTTTTCGTAATATCGTGGGGTTTTGTAATATTGATGTTTATGTATTTGCTATTGTATATTATTTTGAGACTGAGATGTATACAGTAGTGAGAAAAATGTTACTGCTAATGTTTGAAATATTTATTGGCGTATGGGAAGAATTTTTAAAGCATTGGTATTTCCGTTGTTTATCCAGAAACACTCTGTAATTTCATCCTGTGACAGAAGGGGATCACTGCATAGCTTGATAGATGAGTTTTACTTTGCTTAGGTCATTTATGACATGGAGTTACATTGGCACAAAATACATTCTTTAGACTTTACCGAACGCTTCTCGAATATAACAAAACCGAGAAAAGTATAAGCAATTATTCAAAGATAAGTATCTCCCTAAATCAAAAAATGATTTTTTAAAACATCCAGGATTTACACAAATTATTCTTCCAATGTTGTACGCCTGCCCCACCCCCCATCTGCAGACACCAATGTTATTAATTCCGACCAAAGAAACTGTCAGTAAAGAATACATATTTAGATACCAATACCAATGCCAAGCTTTTACCCCTTAGACAGGAATCAGCGGACGTAGAAGTGTTGCGACATCTGCGAATAAATGAAGCCTAGAGAACCCTTGAACCAGTGAAGTAAGAAGTCCACGGATTGTGGGGATCTACCTAGTTTCCGAAACCCATAGACCGGACCGAACCGTGGTATTGTACCATTTATGAGTTATAACAAAACTGAAACTCGAATTTAGCACTTTCCGTTTAAAGGGATGAACTAAGGATTGTACATGAACGTGAACTCAGAAGAATGATCAGCTGGAGTCGGCAACAAACCTCATGCAAATAAAACGAACTATTCAGACGTAATGGATTCGTTCAGGGCAAGGGATATAAACCCGAGCCGGTTTGAAAGATACCGTTCAATATAGAATATGAATTCCTCATTCAGACTCAACGCGTCACTAG